AAGGTGTTCGCCTCTCATTCAATAGGTCCCGAGTTCGAATCTCCATAGCGACAGAAAATTTTCTTCTTTAAAATTATATCCTTTCACATCCTTTCCTGCTCTCTGACAATGTTCTGTCGTCTGCTTTCGTCTCCGCTTTCTGCCTCCACCAATTCACCTCCTTTGCCCCCTACTCTGGGTTCCTGACTCTTTCTGCAGCCTTTCTACTGCTACTCCTTGGCTCCTTCTTATTGCTGTCTTTCAGCCACACCCCTGATCCTCTGGTAGGAAAGATCTACTCCTAGCCTTCTCGGACTGATCCTCTGGTAGGAAAGATCTACTCCTAGCCTTCTCGGACAAAGGCGAAAAATCTCGGAGTTCCTGTGTGCACGTCGCGCACGTTAATGATCCCGTGGGGATCCAAAATCGATAAGAGTAGACTTTGACCGCCACACGGGTAAAATCCAAAATTTCCCTCTAACTGAAAATGTACACTGTATCCTGCGCGCTCATATGACCTTAATCAGTTGCGAGCGCATAAAACACAACAAAAAAGGAAAGAAGAGAAAAAGAAAAAAAGGAGAAAGAAGAAAAAGAAAAAAAAGCAACCACTGATACAGGATCTTCTTAATAAACAAAGCAGGCTTCCACCTTCAAACATGATGCTTTCGTCATGGAATAAGATATTTTACTTCTCGAAAACTGATCCCCGAGAAATGGAATTTGATATTTCGAAGCGGGAAACAAAGTGAACATAATATGTCATCCCCATCATAATCATCTTCATAAAACTGAATATTTTTACTTTTAACATCGTAGTGCAAGTAGTTCTCAAAACCAGGATGACCCACGTCACAATATCAATATTATCATAGCTGTATCCATTGCATCATCCCCCTCATCTGCCCACTCAACAACAGCCTTTACCTTAACACATACCCACCCGCCCACAACCCACCTTTGTATCATCAGCTGTCCTGGGTTCCCAACGAGGTGGGTTTCCACGACCTCGTGCTGCTCACCCACTTGGAGAGAGTCCACAACCCAAAAGGTAAAAAAAGGTCGTATTTTCTAAAACCGCAAAATGATACGCCCGACAATGATTGATCTCTAGATCTATATAAGTTTACTTAACCTTACAAATCAACTTTTCTTTTGACTTTTATCAGTGGGTTTCCCCCAGTTTAGCCAATGATAGTACATAACAAGATGGGCCACTTCTCTCTTTGAGCCAATTAAAAAAGTGTCCTCAAAATTTGGTGGCGCCCTCT